ACACACACAAACTTTTAATAGAAAATGCCAAACATATACAAAAGTAAAAAGAATAGCACCATGAATCTCCAAGCACTCATCAGTCAGCTTCAACAAACGGCACGTGTTACTGCTTTTCCTCCTTGATATCTGCTCCTGCCCACTTCTCCTGCACGCCTCCCTCCCCCCACTTTCAGGGATTATTTAGAAGCAAATCCCATTTATCACATGATTCCATCCAGCCCTAGAAATCTCAACATCCCTCTATAATGGCACATAAACATATTACATAACAATTACCAGTTTGCCTGTCAATTTCCACTTTAAAACTGTGAGGTCCCAGAGGTCAGGAATGGTCTTATTTTTATGAATAATAGTGGTAATCATACGTTGGTGTGACAAGAAGCCTCTAAGGTGGCCCCCCCCTTGTTATCCTCTCCCCTCAAGGGTCGAATGGACCTAGTGATTTTCAAATGAGTAGAATATGGCAGAAGTAATAAGATGTCATTTCCAAGGTTAGACCACCAAAGGGCTGTGGCACCCATCTTAGACACCCCTCTTCCTCACTCACTCCGAGGGAAGCCAGTGGCCATGTTGTGAGCTGCCCTATGGAGAGGTCCATGTGGCAAGGCCCTGAGGGGGGCACCTCTGGCCGACAGCCATGAGAAACTGAGATTCTCAATCCAACAACCTGGGAGGACCTGAGTCCTGCCAGCAACCAGGTGAATGAACTTGGAAGTAGATGAGCCACCAGGAGCGACTGCAGTTTGGCTGATACTTCACACCCTCTTGAGAGACCTTGAGCCACAGGCACCCACAGAAACTATGAGATAACAAATGTTTGTGGGGTTAAGTCACTGAGTTTTGGGGTAATTTTTTACATGGCAATAGATAGCTAATAGTCAGCCTCTTTGAGCACTTGATGTGAGCCAGGGAGAGCCAATCTCTTTCACACTCACAGCATCTCATATCCCCATTTTGCCACGAGGAAAGGGACTTAGAAAGGTCAGGAAACTTGTTCGGGCACAGGCAGGAAATGGGAGAGCCAGATGCCAATGCAGGTGGGTCTACGCAGCCACCTCCACCTCAGCTGCAGCAAGCCAAGTGCTGGCACACGGTGGGGGTTGTGTGAGTCCTGGCTGAGCTAAACTGTATTGGCACCACAGACTGAGGGTGTGGTTAGAAAGAGAAGCCCTCGGGGGCATGGACAGGGCCCAGCTCCTGAATACTCCCATGGCAAATGGTACAAAGAGCATTTCCATAGACACCCAGTGTCTTCCACAGAACAGGAAATTGTCAGATCTCATCAGTGCTCCAGCGCCAGGAAGGAAGGCAGTGCTGTAATGCACGGGGCTGGCTTTCCTCTGTGAGTCAGGAATTTGTGTCTCCTGTACCACCAAATGACAGCAACATTCTGCAGTGGATTCACGGGGAGACTGTGAGTCCACAGGTGACTGTGTGGGTCAGTGAATGTGAGGGTTGGGGGAGGGGCATCAATATCCCTGTGATATCCCAGCCTCTATTTACAGGGGTCAGAGGCAATGGAAGCCAACAGCAGGCTACTGATGGTGTTTGTCTCAGAAAGAAAAAGGCTTCAGAACGGAGCTGGCTTAAGGCCTGACCCCTAATTGAAATGTAAAGGCCTCACTCTCCCAGGGCCTGTGGAGGTAGTAACTTATACTCCTTACCTCGTTCTCTGTCCTGGGCGGGACGTTTTCTAATAAATCTATCCCATTGACCACAACGCTCTTCTTTTCTTTGATAGGAGCCTTAAATACCATTTTTGAGGACTTCTTATAACCTTCTTTCAAAGACATCAGCACGGGATCTAAGAAAGGCAAGGGACATGTTCTCACTGACGATGGATGGACTGAGTCAGCCTCTGCTTGACGGCTGGCCAAGTGTGAGGGAAGTTCCAACAGGAGGATGTGCAGGGAAATGGGGTGAGCCAGACGGAAGGCAAAGCCCTCACACTCTTACCACTTTCGTGAAGCCCACCCCTTGCGGTACTTACCTCGGTTGATGCCTCCCAGCCATTCATCAGGGGTCAGAGCTGGCTCCGTGCCTGGCGTCATGGGGTAAATGTCTTCCTGGTAGGAATCTGACTATAGTGGGGGGAGCGGAAGAGGGAATAGATGGGGGGAGGGGGGCTGAGAAAACCCCTGCTCTGCAGTCAGACTTTTTTCCTCGCTGACCTTCAACCATGTTACCTGCTTTCCTGCCTCCAAGCCTTTGCATTCACAATGTCTCCCACTTGGAATTCCCACCCTGAGTTCATTAGCAAACAATACCGCCCCCACCTTGGAATGGGCTCCATTCCCCACCACAAATTGGGCCTGAAGACCCAAGTCTACAGTAAAAGGGCTACTTCTTCTGGGCTCCTCCGGGCTCACAGTCAGCGAAGAGCAAGCTAGGATTTGAGGCAGAGGGCCCTTGGGAGTCCCGCCCAGCCCCACTCACCCTCCGGGGCACGATCATGGAGATGGGTTCGATCAGGCCCTTGAGAGTCACCAGCTTGTAGAAGCGGAACACCTCGCAAGCCGACACATCCAGCCCGTGCTTGGGCATGACCCCTGTGGACAGTTACACGTGGCTTCCTGGGGCCTAGGGGGTTCCCCCTTGGTGTCCCTCTCCCTGATGTCCCCAGCCAACGGGAGAGACCCCAGCGGTTGGCACTAGATTTGGAGCAATGGCCCCTGCAGAGGGCAGCGGGTGGGCTGAGGGCTTCATGAGTCAGTTCTGTCCTGGGTGGTGACTTCTCACATAAGCCTCATGGGCCAGACCTGCTTCGCGGAAGTGCATGCTTTAGAATTGGGGTCTTTTAGGACTGGAAGGGGCTGCAGAAATATTGGGATCAAATCCATTCTTTTTATAGATGAGATTCTTGAGGGTCAGAAGGGAAGGGGCTTGTCCAAGGTCACAGAGTGTTGTTACAATAGAAGCCACAGAACCCATCACCTTCTGAAATGAACTGGCTTCCTGAAATGTCTGTGTCCCTGATCCTCAGAGAAGAAGGAGGGAAAAACCTTTTTCCATGCACCCCTCAGATTTAAATGCAGCTTGTCTGCTGTCCTGTCATAGTCTTCTAGGACTGAGAGCAGATGTGTGCATATGTGAGTGCATGCATTGTCTGTGTGTGTCGTTAGCCACACTGTCCCTAACAGCTGCACCTACTGATCATCTACCTAGGGAGCAGTGTGCAGTGTGGTGTTAGGAACACAACCTTGGGGGTAGGGAAGACCTGGGTTCGAATCCTGGCTCTGACCCTCTTTATGGCTGGGAGTCCTTGGACAAATCATGACCTCAATGAACTTCAGGTTCCTTGGTTGGTTAGAAAAGGAAAGTAGTCAGGGGATTGAGCGTGAAGATGCTCATTAACTGCTGGGCATGGTGAAGAGCACAGGTAACATTAGTTTCTTTCTCCATGATGTGACCATGCGTCAAAGCTCTACCTCTCCTCAACTGGAACGGAAAGGCTGCTCTTCCAGACAAGGTCACTCCAGGAGCTGGAGGGCAGTGGTGTAATGGCACCCAAGTGGGATTTGGAGCCAGCAGACTGAGCTTGTGTTCTGCCTGGGGTGAGTTACTTGGCCACTCTGAACCTTCCAAAGTGCCGGCTGATGGTAAATGCTCAGTAGTGGCCACAGGTGAGGAAGATAAGAAATGTTTACCCTTGGTTCCTCCCTCTGTCTCCTCTTCTCCTTGAGTTCTGCTGATGCCACTTTCTACACATCTCCTGGATTCACCCTCTTCTCCCCATTGTCATGCTGTCCCCCTAGTTACCATCATTTCTTGCCTAGAAATCCACAGTGGCCTCCTAACTGGTCTCTCTGCCTCCCTCCTGCCTTTCAAAATCCATGCTCCTGAATCCACTCTCCCTACAGAAGCCGAGCAATCTTCAACCAGCCTTTGAGATCACATCACACTGTCCCATCCCCTACTCACCCACCCAAGGAAAAGAAAACCCTCCAAACAGAACCGCGTTGGGCTTCCCATCTGCAAATGGGAATGAAGACACTGCATCCCTTCCCCTCTCCACGATCTCTGATGAGCAGAGATCTTGGACGATGTCAAACACCAAGGGAGGATGAGCCAGCCAAGTGGGTGGTGACCTTCACAGGAGCAGCACCTGTGGGTTCTAACTTGCCCATGAGCTGTGGCCTTCTAAGTCTGATATTTTATTGGCGGGGGCGGGGGGGGGGGGCGTGTAACTCATGAGCCAAATATCCAGTCTTGTTCTACAGCCTAACAGCCAGGGCAGCTTCCTGACCCCTTACCTAGGCCTTTTTGTGGGGCTGGGGAGCGGAACTCCATGAGGTAACTCAAGTAGGGCTTCTCAGTGCTGATCTCATAGTACCGGATGTTTCCATCTCCCTGCGGGCAAGGAGAGAAGGAGGTGAGGAGGGTGTGTGTGTGTGTGTGGGGAGGGTTGAGTAAGCCCTGGTCCAGGCATCTGCTGAAGAGAGCCTCCACTGTGCCTCAAAGGTGGTCAAAGACCAGGGAGACCTGGCCTCCGGGTCCCTGGTGGGCCTACCACAGGGGACCCGCTGGGGGTGTGGTGCTGCTGCTGCTGCAGGGGGTGGGCCTGTGTGTATAGACAGCTTTCCTGACAGTCAAGGCCATATTGGTCAGAGATCTCCTGGAAGGTGCCTCAAATTCCATCATTAGTCACAGTCCTCTACACCTCAGGCTCTGACCCTTATCCCAGTGTAAAACCCTCTCCCATCCACCTCCGAAGGAATTCTGACATTGACACGTCAGTAAGAATAAGTGTCAGACTTGAGGGTAGGTTTCAATGGAAAAAGAGTAAGAAAGACCCAGGTTGGCACAGGGGAAGGCCAGAGAGGTGAGGTTGGTTCTTCTTAGGGAAGTCGGGAATGAGTGGGGGCCACAGGGGGGGAGGGGTCTCCCACAGGCTGCCCAGTCCCTCTCCACCTTCTACTACCTTTCCTGCCAGGTACAGCATGTGCGTGTCAGCGTCATAGAAGGGGAACAGGAGGCCGGAGAGCCCATCAATTTCCTCCTCGATCAGAGGCATGGAGAGGTCCTCCTGCGGGGAGGCGGCCAGCATCAGCCTGTGTCCAGGAAGGAGGGCATCTCTCCTTCCCAAACGCCAGCAAAGCCCCCAGAGCTACAACCCTTTTATGCCACCACCCGGCCTCCGTGCAGCTGACCTGGTCCCAGAGGGCAATCTGTCGTGTGTTCCACCTGGAGACCCCGGTCGTGAGAAGCCGCTTCATGTTCCCCAGGAACACCACCCGGTTCACTCTGTGGTTTTTGCAGCTGGCCTCCTGGCGGGGGGTGGGGGTGCAGAGAGAGCCGGTAAGTCAGGGCCCGGACACCAGGGTCCTGTATAAGACGGAATCATGGCCCCCAGGAGATACACCCATGTCTTCATCCCTGGAACCTGTGAATGTTTCCTTATTTGGAAAAAGGGACTTTGCAGATGTAATTTTAAGCTAAGGTCCTTGAAATAAACGATCCCCTGGATTACCCACGTGGGTCCTAAATGCTATCATGAGAGCCCTATAACAGGTGGAGGGGGATTCCAGACACAGAGAAGGTGATGTGACCTCAGAGGCAGAGCTTACAGTGATGTGACCACAAGCCAAGGAAGCCCAGCAGCCACAAAAGCTGGAGGAGGCAAGAAAGGATTCTCCCTGGACTCTCCGGTGGGAGTGTGGCCCCGCTGACACCGTGATGCCAGAACTCTGGCCTCCAGAACTGGGAGAGACTCCATATCTGTTGTGTTAGCCACTCGTGTGGTAATTTATAGCAGCCGCAGGGAAGAAATACAGGTCCTGAGGAGCAGGGGAGCCCCGAGACTGGGAAACCAGGCCTCTCTGCCGTGTCCCACAGTGGGTGGAGCACAGGGGAGGGGGCGCTAACGTTGACCAAGCCCCGGGCAGGGCCTGCAATGTGCCAGGTGCCGGGTGCTCTCCGCAGGGCCTCTTGTTTAACCTGCACAGCAAAACCTACTGGCAGGAACCTGAGAACAGGGGACGCAGGCTGGCTCGCTGTTTGATGACTCACTACACCAGGGGCTCCTACGAAGCTGTCCTCTGCCTCCTCTCCTGCCTCCCCGCTCATGGCACTTCCTTTTCCTCCTAATGCACAACAGTCCTCTGCCAGGATGAGTCAGCATCAGGTAGAAACCAGAGGCTGGCGGAGCCATGCACAGACCCAGGCTGGTGCCACCTGCTCTGGCGTTAGTTCCAAGTTCTGCCAAAAAAAGTGTAACCAGGAGGACCCCCTCACCCTCTGTGGGTTCGTGTCCAGGGTGTGAGGTGGAGGCTGGGTTCTCTGCTCTCTGGCACCTTTTTCTGCTCAGCATGGGCTCTGGGGTCCATCCAGCTGGGTTTGAACTCCAGCTCCTCCATAACGGTGACATTCCAGTCTCCGACCCCCTCCAAAGCTCAGTGTCCCCACATGTGAAATGGGAAGAGGAACAGTACCCACCTCAGAGGACTAAGTGAGGGAATGATATGAAGCCCGTGGTCCTACATGCCATACAGTGAGCACTGAGTAAATGCTGCTTAATATTACTGATGCTAATTACTAGGATAATTAGTAGTAGTAGCTGGCTTTTTGGCCTCACAATATCGGACTCTTCCTAGATAAACACAACCAGGTCACCATCCATCCTTTCCTGTGTAGCAGGTAAATCTCAAATTTAATCCAAATTTCCCATCCCTCCTGGTGACTGGCATGCTTTAGGGGCTTAAGAAATGTTAATTTCTTACCCCCAAATGGCATCTAATCCCTTCCTCACAGTCAAGACACAAGAGACTCAAAAACCAAAACTGGAGTTAAGTTCACCATCAACCTCTGCACTTAGAGTTGTCCCCAGGGCTGGTGTGCCCGGAGGCATTGCCACCAGGCTAGTGCCACACAGGTGGCTGGGCTGGGAGTCCAAATCCCTCCTCCTGTGTCCAGGATGGGGCTCGGTCAGCACCCACGGACTCATGTGCTGAAGGTGTCACCAGCCTCATCCCCAGCGCAGGCCGGAAGAATCCCATCTGGGGGGAGGGGTGCAGTGGCCAAGAAAGAGAACTAAAGCCCCTCTCCACCAAGGACAAGGCAGGGTTCCTGTGTGAGCCAAGAAGGGCCCAGAACAGACGGGACAGTCAACAGAGGTGCAGGCCAGGTGTATGAGAGAGGGGAGCTGGCTTGGCCTTTCCTTATGCCTGGCTGAAAGCTGAGCCCCAGGCCCCAATACCTTCCCTTCCCCTCAAAAAAGTGGGGCTTCACCTGCAGAACACGGCCGGAGCGGGGCTCGATCACGCGCAGCTTCTTGTCCTTGCACGTGGTGGCGAGCAGGCTGCCGTCAGTGTTGAAGGACATGCAGAGGATCACGTCTGAGTGGCAGTCGATCATCTTCACGGGCTCACCCACGTCCAGGTTCCAGATGAGGACCTGGGGGAGGGCAGGCATGCAGGAGTGGGGTCAGCCCTGCTGCTGCTGTCATTGGGCATGTGTCCCCGCTCCACGCCCAATGGCCTGGGAGAGGTGCCCGTGCAGGGTGGGCGTGTGCTGGGATGCAGGATGGTGTCGCTGAGATCTGTACCAAAGGCTGATGCGTCCCTGTCTCACAAACCCACTACTGTCCTGGGGCTCAGTCTCCACAACCAGCAGGAAGGATCAATGTCCTTGCCAGGTCCCAGTGGCTGGCACACCTCTTTTGAGGGCACCCCTGGGGGTAGGGACTGGGGCTCCATTCTCTCCCCTCCAGCAGCTTTGGTTGCTCTTTTTGTTCCCACCAGGAGAGTGTGGACACGGAGTGGCATTCGCCTCCAGTCCGTCAGCATCAGAGAAGGCAGTACGGGTGTTTCCAGCCTCTATGGACCCCAGGAATGACGGGGTGCGTGAAAGATGCTCAGTAGTGTGTGGCGAATGAATAAATGAGGGGTTGAGACACTATTGATGAACATGCCCCCAAAGATGCCGTTCTCTCTCCCTCCCCATCCACACTGCCTGCCGGGCTGCCCACCTTGTAGTCATAGCCGGCACTGAACAGGATGTTGTTGGTGGTGGGGTGCCACTCGACCAGCCCCACACGCCGGCTGTGCCCATGCAGCTCCAGGAGGGCCTCTGTCATGCTCCGCTTCAGCCCGCCCTCGGGGATCTCCCAGATCCGCACCTGCAGAGGGAACGGAGGGCCCAGGCTGGGTGGCAGGGCGGGCAGAGGCCCGATGCCTCTTCCTCCCACACCAGGCTTCTGACACCTGCTGGTGAGGCGCCTCATGGCCAGCGTGGTGGGCAGAGCTGCTGAGGCCTGGGGGGAGTTTCGAGGGTGTGACTGAAGAGGAAAGAGGCCATCCCCTCTCTTCCCCTGGGAGGGTCTGCTCCGAAAAGCCTCTGCAGACCTTAGACCTGGGCAGCTATTGTCACTGGCATGTTATTGTTATGGACTGGCCAGGTGCAGGGGCCGCACGTTGAGCAGCTCTGAGCTAGTACTGAATTCTAAAGCCTATCTCTGCTTCCCTTCCCACACCCTCCTAAGAGATCTGCCTTCAGCCCCAGCTCCTGTCTGCACCATACAGCCTGTCCCGCATCCTGTCCCCCACCCAAGATGGACACCTGAGCAGAGGGAAACCCGTCTGGGAGGTGGGAGGTCAGAGTCTCCTGAGAGATGAGAAACCAAGGGGCAAAGATTCTCCTCAGATGTTGAAGCCGGAGCTGAACGGATGGGCAGAGCCTGCAGGCAGCTGCTATTTCCAGGCTTATGATGCCGATCGAGAAGCAGAAAAAGATGATCTGCAGAGAGGAGGAGGGGCTCACGGAGAGGCAGCGAAAAGAGACCATGAGGCCCCAGAGGGAGAGAAACTGAACAGTTTCTCTGTAATCTTTGAATACCCACCCCACCCCCATTACTTCCACCAGCCCCGGTGGGCTTGTTTATCAAGCCAAACAGGCTCTGCAGAGTCTCAACGGTTTCATCTAGAGATGGAGGAAATCTTTGCCTGGCCTTGCCCACTGGCAGAATAAAATGAGACACTGCTTGTAAAAGTTGGTAAGCTGTAAAGTTCTCTACAGAACTAAGGGATTGTAAACCTTGTTCTAATTGTTATTATCATCATTAATGCTATTTGTTATGATCTGACTGGTGAAGAGGCAAGAATACATGTGACTACAACTTAGGACACCTTTAAAACAACCCTTTTGACAATCTGAACGCCACCCTTGCTAGTAAGGAGAAAAACAGCTTTGAGATACCATTTGTAATCTTCTAAAATAGCCAACTTAAAGAAAGAGCTGGTGTTGGCAGATTATATTGTAGGTTTAATTGGTGTTGGTAGTATTATAAAGCAGTCATCTTTCAGAAGCAATTTGGCCATCTTTAGTAGAAACTGTAAGACATTTCTATTATATTACCTGACTTAGTAATTTCACTCTTAAAATCCTATCTAATAAAGAGGGAATATGCTAAATGACACTCTCGCCGTTGCAAAGATGGCGGCGCGCACAGCCAATAAGGAGGGAATATGCTAATTGACTGCCCTGCCCTCGAAGATGGCAGTGCCCACAGCCACAAGATGGTTGGCAGGGGAGGGCAGTTGTGGGCGATGAAGCCAGCAGGGGAGGGCAGCTGGGGGCGATCAGGCCAGCAGGGGAGCAGTTAGGCTGGCAGGGGAGTGGTTGGCAGGGGAGTGGTTAGGGGGTTATCAGGCTGGCAGGCAGAAGCGGTTAGGGGCAATCAGGCAGGCAGGCAGGCAAGCAGTTGGGAGCCAACAGTCCTGGATTGTGAGAGGGATGTCCACAGGGATCGGGCCTAAACCGGCAGTTGGACATCCCCTGAGGGGTCCCAGATTGGAGAGGGTGCAGGCTGGGCTGAGGGACATCCCCTTCAGTGCACAAATTTCATGCACCAGGCCTCTAGTCCAATATAAGCAAAAATCTCTATGCATGAAGATGTTCATTGTAACATTACCTATACAGAAAACGTAGAAACACTCTAAATGATCAACATGAGAACAATCTAATGTCCTATCAGTATGAAATAGTAGCCATCCTGTTATAATTCTGAAGCCTGTTAAAGAAAGCCAGTTACAGCCTGGCTGGCATAGCTCAGTGGTTGAGTGTCGACCTACCCACCAGGAGGTCATGGTTCCATTTCCGGTCAGGGCACATGCCCAAGTTGCGAGCTTGATCCCCAATGTGGGCTGTGCAGGAGGCAGCCGATCAACGATTCTCTCTCATCAATGATATTTCTATCTCTCTCTCCCTCTCCTTTCCTATCTGAAATCAATAAAAACATATATTTTTCAAAAAGAAAGAAAGAAAGTCACTTATAGGCAGTCTCAAGGACAGGGAGCAAGGCTGTGAACTGGGGGTGCCCCGAAGGGAATTCCCTTGGCAGGCTTCTCTTGTTGGTGCTTTCCCCTCGGACTATGGAAATGAGCATTGCTCGCACTGTGTTTCCCTGAAGACCCAGCTCTGCACAGGCAGACACAGGGCCTTAGGGAGAGAAAGGCAGGTCCAATCAAGGTGTACCATCCTGTTTCAAAAACATGCTCAAGAAAAAGTTTATAATTCGAGACAGTTTAATGCTTTCCCATCCTCACTGTCATCTCCTTAGGCCCATGGTCCTTCCTCCAAAGGCCCTGTGTGAGGCCTTCTGGGGTGAGGTCTGATCTGGAAATGGCGGGAGGCTGGAGTGGGGACCCGGTGAATAATTCAGTAGTTACCAATAAGACATATCCCTCTTGTCCCCAAATGTACTAGAGGAAGGTGACATTTGAAGAGAGAAGACTAATATTTGAAGTACACACACACACACACACACACACACTCCTTTCTTTTTTACCCAAATGGATACTATTAATACATGCACTTCCACAACTTTTCTCATGTAACAGCAGATAGTGGGCATCCTTCCACACCACTACACATGATCCACCTTATCGTTTTAAGTGGCCAGGGGGCATCTGTTGTATGATTGTGCCATGATGGATTTAATCAACCTCTAATAGTGAACACCTGGCTTCTGCCTGCTTTTTCCACTCTTACAATTCATTCTCTGATGAACACAGCCTGTAACACAAGTTTGTGCATGGGTGTGAGTATTCCTATAGGACACTTGCCTAGAAGTGTTTCATTAAAGTTTCTGTAAAATTGTTCCCAATGCTCTTCCAGTTTCACCAACAGAGTCTGCTTCTTTACCGAGGTCTCTAAAACTCTATTTTCAGAGTTGGATTTTTGCCCATTGGATTAAAAGTGCCACCGCACTGCTGTTTGGGACTTGCATTTCTTTGATTCTTAGAAATACTGAGCCTCCTTTGTGTGCACTTGGGAAGCTTGAGAAGCTTTCAGACTCAAGGAGATGATACTTTTTTAAATAAATATTTTTAATTGATTTCAGAGAGGAAGGGAGAGGGAAAGAGAGAGAGAGAAACATCAATGATGAGAGAGAATCATTGATTGGCTGCCTCCTGCAGGCTCCACACTGGAGATCGAGCCCGTAATCCAGGCACATGCCCTGACTGGGAATCGAACCGTGACATCCTGGTTCATAGGTCAATGTTCAACCACTGAGCCACGCTGCTTGGGTGAGGAGATGAGACTTTAAGCGGCAGAATTATGGGTCAGTGTGGAGGCACTTGGGGGCAAAAAATCCTGTCTATAAATACCTCATACTGTCTCTCTTTTTTCTTTTAAAAAAAAATCTTCACCCAAGGATATATTTTTATTGATTTTTAGAGAGAGAGAGAGGGAGAGAGAGAGCAACATCAGTGTGAGAGACATATGCACCCTATTGGGTATTGAACCCGTAACTTTTTGTTGTACAGGATGACGCTCCAACCAACTGAGACACCTGGCCAGGGCCTCATCCTGTCTCTCAAGGACAGAGGGTAGTGTGTACACACATGAACACCAAGTATTCAGGGTGCAAGTGTTGACTGAGACAGGACAGTGGCCTCTGGCCTTTGAGGAAGATCTTTGAACCAGAGTTGAGCCTCATTACTTGCACACAGGCCTCTTATGAGCTGGGCCCTTGCTGGCCAATGGGACGGTGCTGAGCTTGCCCCATGCTTGCCCTTGAGCAGCATACAGTGGGGCTGACCCAGTAGAGCACCTGCGGGGGCATAGCTGGGGGAACCTCAAATCCAGTCTTGGGGGTGATGGTGGGAGGATCGGGAGAAGCAGGGTTAAAAAAGAGGATATTGCCGAACTGGTTTGGCTCAGTGGATAGAGCGTCGGCCTGCAGACTGAAGGGTCCCAGGTTCGATTCCGGTCAAGGGCATGTACCTTGGTTGCGGGCACATCCCCAGTGGGGGGCGTGCAAGAGGCAGCTGATCGATCTCTCTCATTGATGTTTCTGGCTCTCTGTCCCTCTCCCTTCTTCTCTGTGAAAAATCAATAAAATATTTTTTTAAAAAAAGAGGATATCAACCCAGGTTTGAAAATACCAATTGGGATGTGGGGAAGGGTGGGGACACAGAAAAATGACCAGTGTGTGTGGGTTCAGCACAGTAGTTGGGGAGATTGCGGGCAGGTCAGCCTGGCTGGTGTGCAGCAGGCTGGCAGGGGGCAGAGGCCAGAGGCTGTGTGTGTCACACCTGGTCACCGAGGCCCAAAGGAGCGCTGCTCTGGGGGAGTCTCAGAAAAATAAAACCTTCCCCAGAGCCTAATTCCTGAGCAGCCAGGTACCTGAGCGTCCCTGGGTGGTGTCACAGGCCAGGTTAAGGCACAGACGCATGGGGAAGCTGTGAAGTGGGGGTCCACCCAGGCTCTAATCTCACTGACAAGCTTGGACAAGCCAGTTAACTTCTCTGAGGCTCATGCTCCTTGTCTAGACGATGCATTGAGGTGTGCGTACCCTTTAGAAGTGTGTGGGTTAAAGTAAACTGGGCTCAGACTCCTTGTGAGTCTGAGGCTTGTTTGGGTGACGGCTCTGCCTAGTAACCTAGAGGCTAAGCCTGGAACTGGATCCCCATCCTGCGGGGCAAGGGCTGCAAGGGAGAAGACAGGGCTGTTTTCACCAATAACTGCTGGAGTAGCGTCCCAGGCGGGGCTCGGGGGACCCTGATGGAAAATGCCCCACAGAGAGGGAAAGAGGCATCTTGTCTTACCCCCCTTTGGTATCAGCCACTCCCTTCCTGGGCCCCGGGTTTCTCCTGCGCACATTGAGACAGTGTA